TTTTAGACATAAATCTTCAGATGGGCAGTCAGATTGCCCCAGTTTCTGCTACTCTACCTGTCCTGACTGCTTGCCAATACACCAGTCTCGAAGATCACCCCTATGTCTTTGTCCAAACTATAAATCTCCCTGGAATCTCTTTCCATCATTCCTACTTAATTTTTTTTTGCCTATGTTCATCACTTTTATTATTTATTTATTTAAGTAATTAAATTGAGCTTGTGCTGATAGTTAGCATTAAATTGTCCATCTGATGGTGTGATACACACTAATACTGCATAATGTTTGAACCAGGTTAAACATCCTGAGGTCTTCAAGCATCTAGCATTTCTTTTGTGGTGAACACACTTAAAAACCCTTCCTTCGGGCTTTTTATTTTGAGACAGGGTCTCACTATGTAGTTGAGACTGATCTGGAACTCACTATGTAGCCCAGGCTGGTCTTGAACTCACAGCGATCCTCCTGCCTCAGCCTCCTGAGTACTGAAATTACAGTCATGCACCACCACACCCAGCCCTTCTGGCTTATTTGTTACCTAAATTTTAAGGTGTAAATTAAAACCTTTTAACCCATGAAGGCTTTCCTAATTTCTCCCATTATTTTCCTGACAGTATTGGCTAACACTTGGGTGCATTTGCTCTGCACCAAAATCTCTCACTGAATCCCACCCCATGTGTGACTTTTCTGCATCCTTGTGCTCTGTTCAGGGGGTGCATGACCAACTCTCAGACCACGACTTCCCATCCTTCTCCCATGTGAGATGCACATGTTCACCTTGGCCTGGGCAACTTAGCCACTTAGTGAGACCTTGTCTCAAAATAATAAACGTAAAAATAAAGAAGGGCTTCCCATACATCTCACTGTGAAGGCCTTGGGTTCAGTCCCCAGCTACACACACACACACACACACACACACACACACACACACACACACACCCCGCCACCACCACCACCACCACCATCAGAGCAGTAAAGGTTGTCCCAATTGTGAAAACACAAAAAAGTTGTGTTTGTAGACCATAGCACTGATGACGAGGAGACTTATGATAATGTGACATACATAATGAAGACATAATGTCTTCTAAAGGTATGAGGCCAGAGATTTTAACTCAGTGGTTTGGCCACCTGCCTTGCAAGTGCAAGGTCCTGAGTTTGATCGTGCGCCCCCTCTAAAAGGTCTGAGGCTTCTGAGAGAAAAAGAAAAACTATAAGGGAGAGGCATTTGAGGAGATTGGGTGGCAAAAATAAAAGTGAAAGGAAAATATAGGTTCTTAGAAGATAGAATAATATCAAAGCCAGAAGGTGCCTCCCATGAACCAAACCTCATCTGCTAAGGGACCTGGACTGTGCCACATGGACTGGGCACAGGGCTGTGAGTGAGGGGCTGTGTGACTCACCACAGGGACACAGAGTGCACGGGGTGGAGCGAACACAAACAGGAAGAGTACGAGTTAACACATCCGAGCTGAGAAACACTTTCCCTAAAGACAACCACGAGATAGAGTACCAGAGAGCATCCGGAGGGAGATCAACCACGCAGCAGGCTGGCATCCAGAACTGCTGAGATCTGAAAATTAAAAACAAAAACGGAAAGAAGAAGCAGCAAGAAATGAAAAGGGTGTTGATCAAACTCAGGCAGGAAAGGAGAAAAAATATTCCACAGCAAATGACTCAGATATGACTCTAATGAAAAGCCGAATAAGATGAGTGAAGAAAAAATAATTCACAAATGAAAATAAGATAATGAAGAAATAAAAAAGATCAAAGAAAAAATGGTTGACTATGGAATCAATGAGACGCAACATACATTTCCCTGATGTTATTGATGCTGAAAACCAAACAAAAAAGCATAACTGGAGGTTTGGGGATTTGGCCCATTGGCAGAGCACACACCTAGCATGTGCAAGGCACCAGCTTTGATCCCCCCAAAACGGTTTTTAAATTTTAATCCAAGACTTGCCAAAATTAAAATAAGATTCAAATTTACATAATAAAAACCCTACAGAGAATCTGGGGAAATGAAGAAGAAATAACTATCTTTAAAATATATCCTAGTAGAATCGTTAGACTTCAAAAACAAAGAACTCTCAAGGGTTTCAGGCCAAAAAAAAATATTAAGTATCATATAAGATCAAAGGAATAACTGAAATTAGAATTCTCAAAAGCAAACTAAAAAACAAAGCAGAAATGAAGCACATTTTAAAGTGAAAGAAAGTACGAAAAGGAATTTTTATTTTTAGTCAAATGGCTAAGCGCCAAGATTATGGAAAGCAGCTTCAGACATATGACAGTGTAGGCAGCTGTGTCTACAACCTCCTCCTGGCAGAGAATGGACTTCATTTAAACAATAGACTAGAAAAACTAGAAAAAAGAGCAACAATGCGCTCTTAGTTATTGTCTTCATTGCTAGGATAGAATAGCTGCCACACACACCTCAAGGAAGGCGAAGTTTATTTTGGCTCACTGTTTGTAGAGGTTTCAGTCCACAGTCAGCTGGCTCCAAAGCAGGGCAGTGTGGCAGACGCAGTCTGTGGCATGGTAACAGGATGCAGAGAAAGCCCAGGGAGGTGGGAGGGAGATAAACCTTTCCAGGACACACCCAGTGACCACCTTCTTCAACCGGGCTTCACTTGTCAACATCACATTAGCTAAAAGCTCATCAGTGGACTAATCCAGTGATGTGTATCATGCCCTCATGATTCAAACACCTCCCAAAGCCCCACCTATGAGTGCATGAGGCTTGCAAGGGGGGCACCAAAATACAAACCATCATGTGCACAGTGGTATCTCCCACTGTGTATATGGGAGCTGTATCCATGGGACTTGAAGGCAGAAGCAAGGAAGAAACCCTGAGATACAAAGTTACACATTGTGAAAATACTCTAACATGAAAATGAAAGGAAAAGAAAAGGAGCAAATGTAAGTAGAATAAATTTATTGACTTTTAGAAAGTAGGTGGGAGTTGAAATATATTATTAAAAACTGAATCTCATATCTCAGGTGGTAAAAAATTAAATAAGAAAACAGAGCCTAGGTTACCAAAGAGGACATAGGTCAAAGGCAAACACTATAATGAAAATACAGAATTCCAAAGTACAAACGTTTTAAAAATAAGAGAAAAATATACATGTCTTGTAGAGAAAGGAAGATAGCAAAAATAACAAAAAAGCCCTAAATATTTTATAAAATATTACAGTCGTACTAATATGCACTATATCATACACATAATTATTCATGGAGTGTTAAATACAAAGATTTGTTGTAGTTTGCTACATACTGCAAGACCTATTATTTAACAAGAAAATTATACAGCAAGTTTTAAAAAGAGATGGAGAAAAGAATACACTCAAGGAAAGTGAAAGTAGTGAGAAAAGAGATTGCAGTCCTAATATTGAGATGGAGTTGAAATCTAAGACAAACAAGAACACATTAAAATGTTAAGACCATAATTCATGATGGAGCTACAACAGTGATATAAATTAGCACAATGGCCACCTTTATGAAGCGGAACACATAGGAAATGCAAGGAGACACAGAGAAACATGGAGGAGCATTCAATACCTTATTTTCAACACAGGATAGACCAAGCGGTCAAAGACTGAGGATGTAGAAGATTCAGAAACGCTTACAAGACCAGCCTATGAATATACATTAAATGGAATATTCTGACAATAAAGCATACAATTCTCAAGTTTACATGCGACATTTCCAAAAACTATGTTAGAAAACTTTAATAAACATTAGTAAGTTCCCTAAAGTGAAATCTTATATTCAAATTTGTCTGATGACAATACCATAAAACAACAGATTATTAACAAAATCTTAACGAGAAAAGACTTTTTCATATGGAAAAATTTCTTTAATCCTTGGATGAAAAAGTGAGTGAAAGTTAATATTGCTGAATTTCTAAAATGTAACGATGATGAAAAGTATATATTAAATCTGTGTGGTATATTTGAAGTGGCAATCAGAAGAAAGTTTGGAGAACTAAACACATCAATGAGAATGAGAGTAAATATCATTTAGAAAACTAGAATTAGCAAAAAGGAAGCACATGAAAATAAATAATAGCTCAAAGCAAAGATTAAGACTTCCAGAAAGATGGCAGAGCCGTAAGCAGCAATATATCAACTTCTCCAAGATTCAGAATCCAGACATAAGAAAACAAAACTTGGGGAAGAAAAGGATGGAGGTGCATTCCTGGTACCCAGGAAGGATCTGAAGGGAAAACTGGAGTCCTCAGAGAAAGTGAAGAGACAGACTGCCACACAGAAAATGGAGGGGCGTCCTAAGTGAAATAAACGGGACTTGCATATGTAAACACCAAATTGTCTCTGGTTTGAGAAACTGAAAGTGTAGATGAGGACCAAAATGGATAACAGATAATGTGAAAAAGGAAGCAAAGGTTCAAAGGGGAAGGGGAAGTAGGTAGATGGGGGAAAGGAAAAGAAAAAACATATGAGAAAAGAAAGAAAAAACGGAAGCAAAGCTTTTGTGAATAGGGAGGGGTGGAGGGGTGAAAAGGGGGGCAGGGGAATGGGGAAAAATAAGAACCTAGATATATCATGTAAAGGTACAAGATCCCAATGATGAATGTGGTCATAATGTATACCTAAAATGTACCAATAAAGTTAATTTAAAAAAATAGTGACCATAAAAATTGTTAATAGTGGATCTGTCACTGTTATAAATATTTATGAGGAAAATTGCCAAAAATAATTTGGAAATATTTTTTGTTTAGAAAGGGTGAATTGGAAAATGGGAAGAAAAAAAAAAAAGAAAACAAAAAGAAAGAAAGAAAAAGGAGGAGGCAAACTGCACTTCTCCATTGCTCCCGGCTCGTGGCATGACAGAAGAGGATTGAATCTACATAGACACGGTGAGGGTTGGTGACTCCAGCGGTCTCCAGGCAGAAGTGCACCCGCGGAATGGAGGACAGAATGCTGGGCACTGTGACAGCTGTGAGTGACTCCTGTCCAAGTGACTGGTGTGTCCTTGGAGAAGGTGTTGGGTCAGATGCCATTTCAGGAAGGGGCCAGTTGAACCCAGGACTTGGAGAAGCTATCGGTTGGCTTTATCTCGGGGCTCCCAGTGCTGAAATCACATAGTGACTGTATGAATGACAACTGTGTGAGATATCCAGGGTCCAGGAGCCATGGTCAGTCTGGTAAGAAACATCCAGAGTCTTATAAAGTGAATAACTCAGGCTCCAACCCTACAACCAGAGGCCAGGATCAGCCTAAACTTCCATAGAGTTGAAAACAGCAGAATCAGCACCCTTCCCTAATCCTACTGAAGGCTTGATGGGATCATGCAGCACAGATCTGGGCTCTGTCTGCCTCCTTTTTCTACCAGTGACAGCAGTCGTGCCCTGAATTGGACAGCACCACACAATTGTAGGCCCCAGAATATAGCCACAGGTTTGCGATCACAGAGAAACCATCTCCCCTTTCTCTTTGCTTTTGTTTTTTTCTTGTTCACTTGCTTTTTTTCTTGATTGTATTTGTTTTTTCATGTGTGTGAACATTGTTTTTAGTTTTTTAGGGTTTTTTTTTTTTTTTTTTTTTT